GTTTATTAGTGTTACCAGGGGCAAGAATGAGAGGGAAGAGGGGGGTTAACGGTGATGGAAAAATTGAATTCATTAAGGGTAGTGTTGTATTTGCTGTCAGTAAGTTGTACACCTGTAAAAAGCTAAATTGGCAAATGTTGTGGGATAGATATATTTACAACAATGACAAAAAAAAAGAAAAAAATTATTTCACAGAGCCCGGTGCTCCAAAATGAGGGAATTTTAAGGCTATAAATATCACCAGCTAAATGTCAAGACAGTGGTATGGCTTCTCCAGGCTATTGACAAGTAGCAACTATGTTCCAAAGTTCTGAGTATGAAATTAGGAAAATTTCAGTGTAATAAAAATGTATGGACTGAGGAAGATGAGGGTAAATACTAGAAGATGAGTTACTAGAGTCAAGAAAACACTGTGTAGTTCTGTAAGTGCTAAAAGAAGATTCTTACCACTCAAATGCCTAGTATGCCTGCTGGGTGCACAGGTGTGCTATCTCTCTCTCGTTGTCTCTCTAGCTGCTGATGAACATAAAGTACAGTATGTGCCTTACGGGGAGATGATAGCCCTCTGAAGAAACTCAGCTATCTTAGTGAGATAAAGGAGGAAAGGCTGTTCTCTGGCGCTAATAAATCTAACCCACTCTGAGCAGGGGCAATAAATGATATCCATTGCCTGCAGGGGGCCTTCCACTTTTATTAACCCCTTTTACCTTTTATGGCCCTTTTTATTACCCCTTCCCCTACCTGTTCTCTGTTCATGCTATTTGACATGTGGCTGTCTGATTAGTATTTAATCCTGGGAGAGAGGAAGTTAGGCGTTCTCCTCCCAAGATGCAAACAGGGGCATGCCTGGATGCGATCTAACATTACCCTCGGATGGGAGCCTAACTTCAGGGAACCTAGGCTGATGATGATGTATGCTTTTCTACTCATCCCTGTCCTGTTTATCGTGTGAGTAATAAACACCCACTGACCATGCCATTAGAACAATGTCTGGTCTGTGCTCTGCTCCAAGTGGTCTTCACTAAGAACTTGTGAATATAGTGACATTGCAATGTCCCCAACCTGGTCACCAACTCACAAAATGTTTTAACATGTATTGGAAGATTTGTGCCTATGTATTCCAAGTTCATAATAAAGTTCAATGAGAAAATGAGGTTTAAAAAAACTGAATCTCTTTGAGACTTACTTTGCTGAGATGTACCTTGGGTATTCTTATCAGGCAATAATACATTGCTGGCCACTCTTAAAAGCAACCAGGTACTGTGGTGTTTAAAAAGGACTCTCACAAGATGTGACACTTTCCATAGTTTGGCTACAACCCATCCTGCCAGCCTGATTTCCACCTCCACATGTACCCTTCCTTGTTCCAGCCAAACAGTGCTCACACTTGGCCTGTTTTCCCATCACTAAATCTTGGGTCATACTGATGCTTCTGCCTCTACCACCCCTGAAACCCAATTTCTTCTTGTCAAAATCTTTCCCATCCTTCAAGGCCCTGCTGAAAAATGAGTATGGAGGGAGTTGGTCTCCTCACTGAAATCTCACTGCATTTTGCTGTATCACCATGTGGCACTCACAGCTTTTGGCTTGTATTACAGGTAAATGTGCCCAGGATCTTCTCCTTCAGGCCAGCTGTAAGCAACCTGAAGCCAGAACCACCTTTGTCCTCCCTTCAGAACGTAGGATAGCACCAGTGCCTGCTGTACCATTAGCTGAACTTCATTATTATTTTTTATCTGAATCATGAGATCTTGAAGAGAGAGCCTGCTGCCCTCCTGACTCTGCATGGCATCCTACAGCCTCCCAGATGAGTCAGGCTATAAAGTCAATCAGTAGAAAAACTGTTTTTGTGGGAAAACCACCTCTGAATTTTTATGTTACATGCTTTCAAATGCTTTGCAGGGGGCCAATTATACCTTTTCAGCTTTCTACCTAGAAGAGGCTTTCTCACTGTTTCTGATAATATATTATACAAATGGAGTTTATATAAAAAAAATTTTTTTTTAATTTTTAAAGAAACACTCATTATGTTCTTTTAGGCAAACTCCCCTTATGGTAAGAACTTCTAAGCCCTTGATACAAAAGGTCTTTTTTCTTGCTGCACAGTATGTCTTTATGGGACTGAACAAAGTTCTCCTGGTGAAGTGGAGCTTAGACAAAGGCAAGGCCACCCCTCCAATGTGCAACTTTGCTTCTTTCTAAAAAACATGGTTTTAAGCAAAACTCACTAAAACTTAATTATGAATAAAGAGTCAAGGGTAGAAGGGTGGAAGAACGGAACACTGCCTAAATTATAGGGCATGCTTAAAAATGCAGTTTTATTACTGCTAAGTATATGCTAAGGTATAAATTGGTTAAACTAATGTAAAAGAGAAAAATGAGGTAAGCCAGGGAAAATTTATTTCACAATAGATCTTCATGCATAGAATTCTGTTATCTTACTTATTTAAAAATCTTACTAAATTAAGAATAATGGGGCAGAAGTATATCAATGTACTTTCCTACATTTTCCAAATCTATTATAATAAATGTGTTATTTGAAAAAAAAATTTAGGGTCTTGTTGTTAGCTGCTGTGGAGCTAACCCCCGGCTTATGGAGACCCCATGCACAATGGAACAAAATGCTGCCTGGTCCTGCCCTAAAATATCAGGCATCTGTACAGAGTTAGAGCTAAAATAATAAGGGTTTTAGTCTATTTTGTTACACATTAAGACTCAGTTTAGTAAAACACATTAAGCTGAAAGTGTTCATGGCAACTAACTACCACAAGGGGACATTTGTATTGAAGAGGAAGGTGGGTGGCAGCAAGTGGGTGTCTGGCTACAAGCAAAGGTGGTTCTTTTTACAAGACCTGACAATCACAAGCTAGTCCACCAAGCACTTAGAGACTCACTGCCAAGTGATGACAAAGAGATGACCAGGGAGGGTTCCTCTCCTCCTAGGGTGGCTTAGCTTCTGCTCTAGCCAGTTAATGAGCTCGCATTCACACTAACCCCTAAAAGCTCCTTCCCATATAGCAGCAACTTTTACAAAAGCAGCAAGACTGGTAGCCAAAAAATGCCCCTCTTCAACTAAGGAGAGGTTTAGCAACCAAAGCAATCAAGCAAAAAGAGGCAGAACAGGGCAGAGCTTCCAGGATTTTTATTCTCCAGCACCATCAGCCTTGGCTGTCCTCTGCCTGTGAGTCTCCACATTACTGTGTACTACCGACCCCCAGAGGTCAAGAGAGGGACGTATTTTACACCAGTCCCCACAGCACCAGAGTATGCACAAGACCAGGTCCAGATTCTGCTGGTGTCCTCAGAGAAGAGCCTGGCATGGCCCCAGCCTCAGAATGTTTACAAAGGAAAGGATATCTCAGAGTCCCTCTGTGGCTTGCCTGACACATGGCAGCTTGGAGGGTACCTTCTCAGCCTGAGGACAAGGGGTTCCTGGTGTCCCAGGCCACCTCCCCTACAGCAGCCTCCTCAGTGCGGGCTGGGACCCAGCATGCAGAGCCCTCTTACCCGCATGCTGTGGCGCTTGAAGACATTGTGCCGGTGGAGAGGTGGGGTGTGCAGCGAGTTTACAGGAGATGGATACTCCATAGGGCTGGTGAGCGTAGGTGAGCTGGCACACAGACCCTCAGGTACCTATTCAGGAGAAGCAGAGAAGCACAAGGCACAGGGACACCGCAAGGGGGTGGACAATTAGCTGCTACAAACACATGCACAAAAGAAATGACACACAAGCACTGTGGGGGGCACAGGGTGCCCTGGGCGAGGACTTGCTCTCCAGGAGCATGGTGTGGGTATTTCATTGGCCTTATAGGGTTGCTATGAGTCAGAATCAACTTGACAGCAACGAGTTTGGTTGTTTTGGTTTTTTATCTGAGAGACATGGTGGAGAAATGTACACAGCTCTGGGCTAGAGTCAGCTCAGACATTGTCCCCTCTCATTCATCCAACCTTTCTTCCCATGATGCTCTGCATATGCCAGGGACTCTATATGTGTTACTGATCTCCTCAGAAAATGTCTCCTTCCTCAGGACTTTTTGGAAAAGAGTCAAATTTCATAGTCATGTTACAAATTGACAGATATAATCAACTTGTATATGTGTATATACACACACACACGCTCATGTACACATATATGTAACTACATGTAACTACATATGTATGTGTGTGTGAGCATGTGTGTGTGTGTATTTTTTTTTTTAAATCACTGTTATAAATACCACAAAAGGTTATGTTTCTTTTTAAGGCCATCGCTTCTAACTTCTGAATCAAGGTTTTCTCTTTACATGAAGAAGATTTATCTTGGCTGGGCTTGTTTGGGCACTGGGGCACCTCCTTGGGGAGAAAGACATGACCATGGGGTGACAGCTTTCTGCAAGGAGCACCAAACAGTCTTTGTTTCTATTGTCTGGGATGCTCCATTTTTGAGCTGCAACTCTGAGCTGAGGAATGCAAGAGAAGGAAAGAGAGGAGGTTGGGGTCCCTATGATCTAGATGCAAGAGAGACACGGACACAGATGTTCTGTGACAGGGACATTCAGCGTTGGTATGACGGAGGTAGGAAGAAAGCTCAGATGGAACCCCTCTTTACTGGCCACCCAGATTCTGGGCCAGAGCCTCTGCATGGAACTCCAGGGAGGAACTCCATGCTCTGGGGAACATTAACTGTCCCCAAGCCCCTGGGATTCCTTCTCAGAGGGCTCTGCTCGGGGCAGGGGCCCACAGGGAGGCCTTGGACATGGAGACTTAAGCTGCAGGCAGGCACATGAAGCAGCAGACACTGTGGACATTCTCTGAGGAGCTGATGGGCTAGGCTTAAGACAAGTCTTCTTATACAAGGACAGCCTGGTAGAATTCCATTTTTACTCTTGATCTTGGGCACTTTGAGTTCAAATTCCCTAGAGGGAAATTGCTGTTCTTCAAAGGCGCAAGAATGGCATTTCAGGAATGACCTAGATGAAGAATGCACCAGAACTTTCCCATCCCTCCAGTTCTATATGTACCTGGAATTGCAGCTTGGGAGCCAGAAGGTTGGTCTGTGGAGGGGGTCTATACTTGGGCCGGCTGGGCTGTAGAGAGAAAACAGATAAGTCTGTCCTCTGTGTGATATCAGGGGACTATCACGTTGGAGATAAGTCAAGGTTGTTCAGAATGAAGATGAGATGAGAGGCAAAGTTATCATTTAAATCACTTTGCATCCACTTAGTGAGCACCAATTACATGCTGAGTAATGGGAATATACAAAAAGGCTAGCCTCGGTCTTCCTGGGGTTAAGGGCCTCTGTGTGTGTGTGTGTGTGTGTGTGTGTGTGTGTGTGTGTGTGTGTGTGTAACCTACCTATACACTGAGCACCTGCCGAATAAGCAATCAAGAGCTACAGGTATTCAGAGGTAGGAGGTCACTGAGGGCTCAGGCATTCATGGAAGCTTTAAGGAGGAGATGAAAATTGAGTTGGGCCCTGAGGGAAGGGTCAGAGCATGCTGAGCCAGGGAGACAGTGAGAAAAGGCCTTGGATCAGACTGAGCATGGCCCTCAAAACCTAACCACCTAACAGTGTTGCAGACAGGCACTGGCGCCTGAGCCCAGGGGTCCTATGGAGGGCATGAAAACAGAGAGTGGACCTAAGGGGCCCAAGGACACTCTCTGTTCACGTGTCCTCAGGGGAATATAATGTGTCCTGAAGAAAAAAACTCCATGAAGAAAAGTACTCCAGCCTCTCAAGGGAAACTTGTCCAGGATTATTCCCTGACTCAGCTTTCCTACAAGGTGTCTGCTGTCTCAGATTCCGCCCAAACTGCCACGGCAATGATGTGACCGGGCTGAGTTCAGTGCTGATGGGTAGGGAAGCATCTTGCCCATGTAATGAGAGGCAAGTTACATAATCAGGCTGGGAATGGGCCAGAGAGGGGCCCAGCTCTGCTGCGACTCACAGGAATGAGGAGGCTAGGGCTTGGCTTACCTTGGGTGGGGGCTCCTGGAAGGCTGTGGGCTCCAAGATTTTGGGGGCTCGGTAGCGAGTGTTTCTCTCTTGCTCCATAGCAATGTCCTTCTCCATCTGGTAAATGTCACTGCCAAGAAATCAAATCAGATAAGGAGAGAGAAACAAGGTCAAAGTAAGCTGTCCCTCAGGGGAACATTTCTGCACCCCAGTGAAGCCCAAAGATGCCTGGATGAGAGTTGCTGGACTCCATTTCCATCTCCTGTGCAGAGTAGTCTGGGGAGACCTCTCTGTGACAGGCTGAGATATGGGAGGATCACAGGAAGGGATCCAGGGTGGGAAAATGTTCTTGAGAGCCCGTCCCAGTCCAAAGGGGTGGGGGAAGCCTGTCTCCAGACCCACCCGCCCATGTCTCTTGCCCTCTTGTACCTGCTGTTGCCACCATTCCCCTACTAGATTTCTGATGTCCCCAGGCAACTGCATGTCCAAGGCCTATGTTCTACATCTCTTAGTTTTCATTAACTGTCATCTATATCACTACCTTAAGAGTTTAAGGTGTCTGTCATGGATTGAATTATGTCCCCCCAAAAATGTGTGTATCAATTTGGCTGGGCCATGATTCCTAGTATTGTGTGGTTGTCCTCCATTTTGTTATTGTAATTTTATGTTAAAGAGGATTAGGGTGGGATTGTAACACCCTTACTAAGGTCACATCCCTAGCCAATGTAAAGAGAGTTTCCCTGGGGTGTGGTCTGCACCACCTTTTATCTTGCAAGAGATAAAAGGAAAAGGAAGCAAGCAGAGAGTTGGGGACTTCACACCACCAAGAAAGAAGCGCCGGGAGCAGAGCACATCCTTTGGACCTGAGGTTCCTGTGCTGAGATGTTCCCAGACCAAGGGAAGACTGATGACAAGGACCTTCCTCCAGAGCCGACAGGGAGAGAAAGCCTTCCCCTGGAGCTGACACCCTGAATTTGGGCTTGTAGCCTACTGGACTGTGAGAATAAATTTCTCTTTGTTAAAGCCATCCACTTGTGGTATTTCTGTTATAGCAGCACCAGAAGACTAAGACAGTGTCCAAAGCTCTTCCCATCAACACCTCCCTGCTGTGTATTAATGGGGAAGGGCTGTGAATTTTCTCCCCTGTGCATGCTAACTGGAGACTTCTTGCCTTAATTACCCAAACCAGTGGTTCTCAACTTGGGAATCCAGACCCCAGGGATCTGGAATTACTGAGGAGGTTCATGATTGCATATGTTTATATGTGTACCAAGTATTGTGTGTAGACCAAGTATTGTGTACTACTGATATTTAACATTAGATATTGATGTTTAAAATGTATATGCCTTAAATTGTATATAATTAAAAAAAGAAAATTCACTGTAAAGTTTACTACATTTTTTCAATCCATGGGCACTAAAAGTACAATGATTGTCACATGGAGGGATTCTCAAAATTTGACATTAAAAGGGCCCTTCCTACCCTGAAAAGAGTGGGAAACACTAATCTCATCCTGTCTTAACTCTAAAGGCAGGAATGTGAGACTGTGGCATTCCACTGAGGGAGGTCCCCTGGGGTCATCTGCAGCTTTGAGCATCCTTCAGATCACACCAGAAAAGCTTCCTCCTAACTCCATCCATGGTGGAGGGGCGGCGAGGTGTCTCTGATTGGGCACACTTCACAGCCCAGAGGTGGACACCCTGTCCCCTCTCTTGGAGGTTTCCAAGGCTCCGGATGAAGTAAGACCCCCCACCCCATTAACTCTGAGATTCCACACCCTCAAATTTGACATCTTTCAGATATTCTTCTGGAACCGTTTGGGTTCTTGGATCTCCCTAATGAGGAGCAAATAAATGAGTCTAGAATTGATTGGGCATGTCAATGAAGGATAAACAGGAACAGAGAGGCTGTTTAAGCTGGAGGTTTTGCAGATTGTGTTGGAGGCCCTGACCCTCCAAACTAATATAGTGTCAAGTGTCATTTTCACTGCCCCAAGCCCAGGAACTCTCAGCACCTTCCCATTGGGTCCCTGTGCCTCCCAAAGGCATTTTCCAGGGGCCATTTTCTTGACCTCAAAAAAAAAAAGAAAGAAAGAGAAAATGTTGACTACTTTAGAAACGCTAGTGTTTAAATTTAATTACCTGCTGGATTCCCTAAAGTCAGAGTCAGCAAACAAGGCCCAGGGCCCAAATGTGGCCTCCACCTATTTTTGTATGACCTCCAAGCTAAAAATGTTTTGTTGTTTTATTTTTACAATTTTAAATGGTTTGGGGAAAAAAAAGATTTTGTGACATGTGAAAATTATATTAAATTTAAGTTTCAGTGCCCATAAATAAAAGTTTTATTGGAAGACAGCCATGCTCACTCATTTACATGTTGTCTGGCTACGTATGCTACAATGGCAGAGTTGAGTAATTGCAACAGATATCGTATGGCTTGCAAAGCCCAAAATATCTATAATTTGGTTCTTTACACGAAAATTTAGTTTTACTGAGTTTCACCCTAAGAGAAGCCAAAGGAAGACAGACCCAAGGGAGAGCTGACAGCAGGCATGCACCAAGAAAACTAGAGGACCCTGAACTCTGAAATGATCTCTGATGACACCTTCACCACTGATTTCATGGTACTCAGGGGATACTCTTGGGCACCTGAGGATGATCACACCCTCAGCTTCCACCTTCCGTTCAGAAAGGAGAGGTGACACCTGGGTCATTGTCTCGATGTCAAGCTAAAAATTGCTCTCTGGAAAGTCAGGAATAGAAGAAGGAAATGGAACATGTGGGTAACTGCCTCCACAAACAAGTGCCTCCTTTGCCATGAGACCAGAAGAACTGGATGGTGCCCAGCTGCCATTAGTGAATGTTTTGCTCAATGATTCTATAGCATAATCTTGATCAAAAGGGGGAAAATGAGGAACAGAATTTCAAATTCTCTTGGAATCCAGACTTTATGGATCCAAAGGGCTGAATAAACCCCCAAAACTACTGCCCTGAGATAATCTTTAACCCTTAAACCAAAAATATCCCCTGAAGTCTTCTTAAAACCAAACAATAGTTTAGCTTAATTAATAAAGAATATCTGTCTTGAGCATTGTGCTCTTTTAAAGAACTGTCTATATGGGATCAAACTGACAACAGCAACTCACGTTAGACAGGAAGCTTAGAGGGTAGTGATTTATGTTAATGTTGGAGGAACAATTTGGAAAAGGAGGGTGAGAATGGTTGCACAACTTGAAGAATGTAATCAGTGTCACTGAATTGTATATGTAGAAATTGTTGAATTGGTGTATGTTCTGCTGTGTATATTTTCAACAACAACATTAAAAAAAATTCCTCCTTCCACTGCTAAACGGAAGGAAAGACCAAAGGTGAGAGGAGAGGCAAGAGAGTGCTTCCGAGAAAGCAAGTTGCACGGCCCAGTGCCAGCATCTGGAAGCTGTGCTTCCAACCTCTACAAACAGCAGAGTAACTTCAATGAAAGTCTGGTTCAGTCTTTTGAGTCAAACCTAAAAAATATTTCCTGAGCACATTGTATGAACAAGGCACTGTGTTCAGCGTTGAGACATGCCGCAATGAGCAAGGCTTACCCAGCTTACCTTTTCTCTGAGTTCATATCTGACAGTAAACTTGGTTTCAACCTTTTGTTCCTGACAGCTACTGGGACCTCTGTGATATGTATCTGGCACTGTGCTTCTGTTGCAAGGTTTGGCTAATTCCATTTGGATGCAGGACTCAATGTGGTCAGAAGGAAGGCCTGAGGTCAAATTGCACTCATCCCTCCCTGCCTTGGGCAAGTCACAAACTTTCAACCTTTATTCTATCATCTGTGAGATAGGGACGACAAGAACAACGCTTGCTGGATAGAGCTGTGGTGGGCCCCTGAGCACCTCTTATTTGGGGAAGGCTTTGGTAAGCCTCTAAGAGCTGTCTGATGAGCCTTGCTCTCTGGTGGCGGAGGAGGAGTTCCCACCTCACAGGCCCTCTGCTGAAGCCCCTCCCTCCACACTCACCTGAGGCTACACACAAGCTCAGTGAAGCGGGGCCGGTCACTGGGGTCATAGTCCCAGCAGCGGGTCATGAGTGTGTAGAGGACAGGTGGGCAGAGGTCAGGTTTAGGCAACCGGTCCCCTTTCTCCAGTACCCCAATGACATCCTTGTTCTCCAGCCAGAAGAAAGGCTGCTTCCCGAAGCTCAGGATCTCCCACATGCACACAGCTGAGAGGAAGGAGGAGAGGGCTCAGGACCTGTGCTGGGGAGGACTGGCCCTGCAGAGACAAGGCCATATTCCCCAGAGTCCAGTGTGACAATCAGCACTCCATCCCTGCCAGGAGGGGCCCCCTGCTTTCTTGCCTCCCACTCTGGCACCTCTGAGGTCTTGCCCACCATATGGCCCACCTGAGGACCAACACCTACATCTATAAATGAACTAAGGCCTCCCTCTCTAGACCCCTGTTATGGATTGATTGTGTTCCCCCAAAACATGTGTTGGAATCCTAACCTCTATACTTGTGGTTGTAATCTCTTTTGGAAATAGGGTCTCTTTGTTATGTTAATAAGGCCATATCAGTGTGGGGTGTGTCCTAAACCTAATCACCCTTGAGTTATAAAAAGAGCAGATCTGACACAAAAGCACAGACATGGAGAAGGGAGGTGGGTAGTCACTACCCAACCATGAAGGCAGAGGCGGTATCTATAAGCCCAGGAACTCCAAGGATTGGTGGCTACTAGAGCCTGAAATTGACCTCCCCCTAGGGACCTCCCCCTAGAGCCACACTCTGAACTCAGACTTCTAGCCTCCAGGCTGTGAGAAAATAAACTTCTGTTCTTTCAACCCATTTGTAGTGTTTCTGTGACAGCAGCACTAGGAAACTAAGATAACCCCATATACAAGAAGCTATAAGGGTTCTGTGGGGTCTAGAAGTGGCAGTCAAAGGCACATCTTTGGGACCACTGGTGCCTTCTCTAGGACAGCTGGAGGGTAGTTAAGCCTCTATGAGAAAACCTCACTCCAATGCTTGTTGACTATATGGTCATGGGCAAGCCCCTAACACATCTGAGCCTCGGTTTCCATGACTGTAAAATAGAACTAATAATGATAATATTTTTCAGGTCTGCTTTTGGGAGGACTAAGTGTGATCATTCACATGACTACATGTTCTGTAGATGGCTGACCATGGATTACCCGTTTTATTGTCACCACTTTCTGGACCTCCTTCTCAAAGCAAACCTCAAAGTTTTGTCTTTGAGTGTCCCCTCCAGAGTGTCCCAGATTAGTCCTTGGTGCTGGCTTGTGGAGTATACACTCGTCACAAAAACCATCTCCAGGATTAACCAATGCTGCCCAAGGTCAGCCCTTAGCCCATATCACCCCCAACCCACCACTGGTCTCCCCACTTCTGGGACTTCTCAGTGGCCACAGCAAAAGAGAACTCTTGCAACCTAATGGGAGAGAGGGCATCAAATCGCTGTTGCTATACCCTGTCAGGCACCCACTTAGCCTGGCCATGTAGGTGAGAATCTGACTCCTTTTCCAGGCCCTCCAGAAACTCCACTCACCAAACATCCAGACGTCACTGGCTGTCGTGAAGCGGCGGAAGTTAATGGACTCAGGGGACATCCACTTGATGGGGAGACGAGTCACGGAGGCTTTGGGTGGCAAAGACGTTGTCAGAGATATTTAGAGATGTAAAGACCCAGAAGGTATCCAGAAATACGGTCTATTCTCTGGAGACCTTGGCTTGCCCAATCAGAGCCTCCCCTCACCTTTATAATACTCCTCATCCTCAATGTACCGGGAAAGGCCAAAGTCCCCTAGCTTTACACACTCAGGGGAGGCCACCAGGATATTTCGGACGGCGATGTCCCTGGAAGAAGGATGAGAAGACAGGGTGAGGTACACCCATGGGAGTAGGAATGCTTCACAGAGAGAGAGACAGATAGACAGATGGACAGAGAGATGAAGGAGAAGAACACTGGCCTGGGACTAGGACTTCAGAGCAGAATCGGGCAGCTTCTGTGGGTGAGCCCTTCCCTCCCCACTCCCGCCAGGACCATCTTGCTAAAGCATAGCTCAGGTCTGTCCTGTGGCTGTGGAGCTGGTCCTTCCTCCACCTCACTTTGTTCCTTGTTCCCTGAAAGGTGGTTTCTGCCCTGGGGAAGATGATGTCCTGGGGGAAGGCAGAGGTTGTGTGCTCTCAGGGCACCGGGGTAAGTGGATGGATTCCTTTCAATTCAACTACATTGAGTGTAGGCTGCCTCCTCCAGATTTCCTGACATAGCATTCCAGGCAGCTGGCCATCTCTTCCCATCTCATCATTTGAACTTTGTCTCCTGTGGTCCCTTCTCACACATCCCTGACTCAAAGCCTGTTTGCTGCTCCCAGAACATGCCCTGTACGCTCTCGTCTGTGCTGTTGCTTATATTGTTTCCTCTGCAAGGGCGCTGTCTCCCTGCTAATCTTTAAGGATGAACCTCTACAATTGCTACAACTTTCCTGGCCGTAACCATTCTCTCCCCATTCTGCCTTTCCACTGTTGTTGTTAGGTTTTTATTATTGCTATGAACAGCAGCAGCATAGCTAACCATGATTATTACAAAAACAGTTGCCTTTGAGTTGATTCTGACTCATGGTGAACCCACGTGTGATTAGGCACCACAGGAAAAAAAAAAACAACCAGTTGTTGTCAAATCAATTCTGACAGTATTTTTAATGGCTGGTTTTTCAGAAAGAGATCACCAGGTCTTTCTTCCAAGGTGCCTCTGGGTGGACTTGAACCTCTAATCTTTTGGTTAGTAGCCAAGCATATTAACTGTTGGCACCACCCAAGGACAAAATAAGCACAATAGCCAGGATCATATACATGCTTTATGTACCCCGAATCATGACATAGACCCTCAGAACCCCCTGGTACAGATAAGGAGACTAGGTCTCAGAAAGCTGAAGTAGCTTTGCCCTGCAGGTTCCTGGTGAAAAAACATTCAGCCCAGGTAGCCTGTGCTCTTAGTCCACCCAGAGGTAGCATTCACTGACATGTTTCACCTGTGCTCCTCAACCCTGTACTGGTTTGCTCACTTCTCACAGGCAGTCTCCGTTCCTTAAAATTTATTTTTATTATTGAAAAGATGACTTAGAAACATGACAACTTTAAATAAACAAGCTCAAAAAGGAAACAAATTTATTATCCCATCACCTTTACCCTGTAACTACGTTTTGCATTTTACGCTCAAACAAGAACGCAGTTCCACAAGGAAAAGGATTTTTGTTGGTTTTGATCATGACTTTATCCAGAGCCTAGAACAGTGCCTGAAACAAAGTAGAAATTCAGTAATATTTGTTGAATGAATAAATGAACTTTTATATTCTCCAACAATGCTTAGCATAGTACCACACACAAGGCCACAGAACTGATGTCAATGTTGCTGGACTGAAAGGAATCTGCCCACTCACCCCAGTGCTCTTAAAGCACCCAACCTGTCTCCAGGAGATTACCTGCCCGGGGCAAGAACCTGCTTTCAGGGAATGAGGAACAAAGCAAGGTGGAGAATGGACCAGCTACAAGCCACAAGATGAATTAGTCCAGGACACACTGGGGAATTAGGGCAGTGTTGTCTGCTCAGGCTGGGAAGCGCCTAGGCCCCAGGATCTTCCTCATGCTGCTCTAGCCCAGTCCCTTCTTCCTGGGCTGTGACTCCCAAGATGTTGCTGTGGTAACCAGTGAAATGGCTGAGCCAGGAGGGGAGCAAGCTCTGAGCCAGCTAAGAAACTAGTTTCTGGAACTCAGAAGGAAAGGGACTAGAATTTATTGAGTGTCAATCAGACATCTAGGGCTTTGGATTTACTCTCAACAACAATCCTGTGAAGTACATATTGTTATTTTAACTTCTCAGGTGAGGCAGCAGGTTCATAGTGGTTGCTCAAAGTGGCTCTAAGTTGCCAAGATAGCCAGGGTCAAAGCCAGGATTCAATGCACATCTCCATATTCAATACAGGTCTCAGTGAATCCAGATCCCTACTTCACCCCAAACTTCTTAAGGATCAGATAAAGGGGTCTGCGCTTCCCTGCTGCCTACCCTGCCCCACCCCTACCTGTGGACACAGTTGATGCTCTCCAGGTAGGCCATGGCCTTGCATATCTGCAGCGAGTACAGGACAAGGGTGAGCACCTTCAGGGAATTCTTATTTCTCTCCAGGTAGTGGCCCAGCTGTGGGAATGAGGGAGGGTTCCATCAAAACCCATGACACAGCCTCTGCATGGAGCAGAGGCCAGATCACAGGCAACTTGGCCCTTCCGGGCAGGGCCAAACCCCAAACCAGCAAGATATTCTAGTAATTTCCTCTACTAATGGTCTCTTGGTTGTTCCAACTGAACACAGAAGGCAGAAAACAAGGCATCGGGGCTCCTTGCTCTAAATGCCTCACACCTCAGAGGCCCTACTCATCTGGAGGCCCAGTTTTCACCTTAGGATTTGTCTTTTGCTCCTCTAGCTTACCTCTCCATAGGGATACAATTCCATAATTATCCATATGGGCTCCTCCTCAATGATGCCGATCAGCTTCACAATGTGCGGGTGGTCGAGATTCTTCATGATCACTGGAATAGGGGAGAAGAGAGATGGGCTGGATCCACTCAAAGGTCCAACAGGAGAAACCTTGCTTTGCTGTCCCAACCAGGAGAAGAGGGAGTAAAACTCTCCTGCTGACCTGAGGCCCAGTAGTGCTCACCCATCCCCCTCCCCTCCCCAGATTTGAGGTTGCCCTCTATCTTGGAAGTCTATGCAGGCTCTAGGGGCTTGTCCAGCTCATGGGGCTGTGTCCTTCCTTGGAAAGACCTACCTGCCTCACTCATGAACTTCTCCTTATTGTCCAGAGTGCAGTCTTTCTTGCAGGTCTTTACAGCGACATTGAGTTGCTCCCCTTTCTGCAACAAGAGTATGTTCAAGGTCTCCTGGTCCAGTTTATTGTGCAAAAAAAGTGCCACTCTCTGGTGTCACTGTGTTCTTCCCACAAGGATTCATGGCCAGCCAAGAGAAGACGGAGGTGACTTCAGGGGCCCTTTGCTTCTCTCCACAGCATAGCATGTTTTCCTTCCCTTTCTTATTTTTCTCTCTTCTTCTCCCCTTTTCATTTTCTCTTCTCTACTCCCCCGCTTTCCTTCTAAATCACATTATGTTAGAACTGGAAAGGATTTTAGAGATTAAGTAGGTCAAGCCCCTCATTGTACAGATGAGGACCCTGAGCCTCAGAGGGGTTATGTGACCTGCCCAGAGCTAGCGAGCGTGTAGAGGGGGCGTGCTCAAGTCCAGACCACCAGATGCATCGTCCAGGACTCTTTCTCTCTCTTCATTCTTGTTTCTAAAATTTTTGCTTCCCTTTTCCTTCCCCCTCAACCCCCAGGTCTGCTAGAAGTACAACTACAAAGGCAAACCTTGTGTGGCCCCATTGGTGTGCTCAACACTAACTCCTGCCTCAGATTCTTTTCTTTGGTTTCTCAAAACAGTATTTCTATTTCTCCTCCCCTTGTGTTCTTTCATAAAGACATCTTTCTCCAGGTTCTTCTCCTGTTTTGCTATTTTTCTTGGTATTGCTATCCTTCTCGGAAATTACTCTTATTTCCACCATTTCCCTGGACACTTCATGAATACTTCAAGTGCCAAGTGGACAGATTCATCCTTTCACAGCTGCTGCCTGCAACTGTTATATATTCAAGTTCCTGTCTCACCCTATACCCAAGCTGAGAAGGAGTGTCAGGGAAGAGTCAAACTCACATGGTTCTGGTAGACACCTTCGTACACCTCCCCAAAAAAGCCTTCGCCAAGAATACGACCCAGAATCACATTTTCTCGGGCAACACTATACTGTGGACCTGCACAAATGGAGAAAACAGGAAGTCCCAGAGAGCACAGAAGCCAGGTGGCATTTCTTGGGAAATCTGAGAGTTTGTAGCAGGGCTTCAAACAAGTTCATTCGGTTTGAACCCCTGCTGACAATTTACATTTCCACCCCAGATATACTGAAGAAGAATCTACATTTTAACAAGATCTCTGGGTAATTCTTATGTATAACTTCCTAGGAACTTGTTAGAAATGCAAATTCTCAGCAGGAGGTTGACCCAAAGGAACCAGTTCAAAGCCCAGGTTTGCAGGCCCTAATACCAAGTTATGCTCCCCCTCCTGCTTAGGCTTTACCAGATCTCCACCACAGCACCTCCAACAGGATCCAGGGGCAGGGCTGAGAAAGGAGATCTAGAATGTTTTATTTCTTCACACCCAGAGAAGAGCCATCACCTCCCCTCAGAAAGTTGGGCCACATGTCCATGCTTTTAGAATTCCCAGCACCACAGGCACGCAAAAGGTCAATCAATATAGACAAAAGATAATTATCACATCTTTCCAATAAAAGTACCTCAGATTTGCCCCTTTCCGAGCCACATGTAGGAAAAGACAAAGGAAAGGACGAAAGTTCCCTCTGTGGTGTCACTTGCATCACTGTAATGTCACTTCATAGGACTGGGGTCTACATGGTGGGGTCAAGGACCTACCTCCAGGCCTTCTCAGGGTCTCATCGGGGATCTCGACATAGATGTCTGACTCTGGAATGACAGGAAGAGGCCCCACTCCATGAAAAAGAGGCCCTCAGCAGGCTCTGCCCAGGACTCAAGTGTGTGGGCCCCACCTTAAAGCAGTGGAGCCAAGGCTGACACCACTAGAAAGGGAGAGATGCCAGGCTCATCCCATTGTTTCCATCCCAGGTTTAAAAGTGTAACATGGTCTAGAGGTTAAGTACAGAATCTGCAGCCAGGATACCTAGGTTTGAGTCCCTGCTCTGCGACTTTCCATTTGTGTTATTTAGGGCAAGTTAATTAACCTCTCTTAACCCTAGTTTCCCTTTCTGTGAAATGAAAGTTTCTGGAGGATGTTGTAAAGACTGAATAAAATACCTATAAAGTGTTTAGCACAGCATTTGCCACAGAACTACTGCTCAGTAAGAAACAAAAACAAACCCGTTGCCATTGAGTTGATTCCGACTCACGGTGACCCCGTGTGGTACAGAGTAGAACTGCTCAATAGGGTTTTCTTGGTTTTAATCTATATGGAAGCAGACTGCCAGGTCTTTCTTCCACAGCACCTTTGGGTGGATTTAAACCATCAACCTTTAGGTTAGTAGTCAAGTGGAAACTGTTTGTGCCACCCAGGAACCTTAACTGCTTAGTACTCATTAGCTATTATTTGAATGGCATTTTAAAGATCTCATCAAGAAGTTATGGGAGAAGGTTGTCTTTCTGCAACTTTGAGAGAATCCTTGGAGATGTCATGAGAGCAGGCAGAAGCAAGCAGAGCAGAAGAGAGGCTCTAGGCACCGGCCAAGGACGGCAAATGGTTCGGCTTACCTATGCTGCAGCTTTCTGAGAACTGGGATCGTCGATCCTCCAGGTTTCTGTAGGATGAGATCAGAGGACAGAAGCCAAGTGGGCTCAGAGCCTGGCAACTGCTCCCTCCACTCTTCCTGCCTGCAGGTCTGGCATGGTAACCACCCTGGTAGCATGGCTCCAGGCTGTTAGGAGGCAGGGAACAGTAGACAAGCAATCCCCTGCTAAGATGACACCAGGTGGCATTAGGACATAGGAATATCCCTGCAAGTATTTACTAGAAGGGAAAAATTGCCACTTGTGAAAATGCTGGGATTCCAGTGGTCTCCCTTGAGGCCCGGAAGCCAGAAACTATGGAGGTGGAGGCTCCCTGTTTCTACTTCCTCGTCCCGGGCAGACACAGGCTGAGCCCAGGGCTCTGTTCCTGTCTTTCCATTCTACTCACAGCAGGGGGATCTGGGGTAGGCTGTTCCGCTTCTCACCATCTAGGGAGAGAGGAAAAGAAGGGAAAAGTTGGAGCCAGCGGACACATGATCCTGGATGGACATCTGACTTCTTCTCTGCTCCTAGGACCCAACTCAAGGGAATCCTCCCTCCCAATTGTTCTTAGAGTCAGAGTGCAAATATTTGGATTCTCCTTGTAGAAAAGCTTCTCAAGTTTCCTTCTGCCACCTTCCACATGCTCCAGTCCAGACCCCTGCTTTCTGATTCCAATCCTAAAACAGAGACACACACAGGAGGAACCAGCGTGTTCTAGCAATAGCTTTGATCTTCCTGGGGCTACAAACACTTCTCCTCCAGACGCCAGCACCCGTGCTGCCTTTGACCAGCAAGGCCAGGGGAAGACAGATGTGCCAAGGGCCTGTGACTGAGGACGTCCAGGCAGGGCTATGTGAGAACATCCCCATGCTTCTAAAGCCTTTTCTCTCACACTTCAGTCAATGGCTTAGCCTCTCCTGCTCTGCTACTGGAGGCTTTGGCTCAGCTGTGCTGCCACCCACTTTCAGTCCAATTTTCCTTAGAGAGGAAACCCACCTTTCTTGGGGTGAATGATGAGAGAGCCTTTGTGCTCCCCCTGCAACCGGCAGTAACCATCGACAAGGTCAGCCATATTCTCAGCTTCTGCCAGAGAGGAGGTTTTGATGGACAAGGACTGCAGAGAAGAGACCAGCCAAGGATGAGATCCCATAGCCTTGGCAAGAGTCTACCCACAAGGCTAGAGAAGAGACTACACATACAGAAGGAGCAGGACCCCTGCCGCCCACGCCCCTGCCCCACTCCATCGCACCTCTCCTGGGGCTCTGCTTGCATTCCCTATGGCCACCAGGGGGCAGCTCTTGTCACCCCTACTGAATGCCCTAAGCTCCATTAAGGCCTACTTCAAGATTGAATTATTTTGTCTCCTACAGTGTTTAACACAATGCCTTGTACTAGTAGGGGCTTAATGCGTAAAAGCAGAAACTGAGGACAGAGAAGAAGGAGGGCATGGGGAAGTGGACAGATGGATGAAAGATAGACAGTCTGTTTGCAGTCTGAGGTCCCTCTGATTCTTCTACCACAAAAAGCCCTGGTTCCCTGAGATCTTGATTCTTAAGATGTTACTTGGTTACCTTCACCTACCCTAAACACTGCCCCAACTTCCTTCCTGACATTTTTAAAATATATATATCATTGCTTCCTGACATATTTTCCTCATAATTTATCATCAATCTGGCACCTTGTCTAAGAACTGGGTTTCGTTTTCTTAACAAGAACCCAGAAGCTGGGGAACTTCTGGCTCCTGCCCACCCTGGCCAAGATGACCTGAGCAAGAACTCCCAACGTGCATTTACACACACCTGTTTCCAGATGCCCAGAGATGCTCACCTGGGGGGCGCCTTCGATGCCCAGCTGCAGCACAGCCTGTCCCTCCTCCAGCGGGAGGCACCGGATGGACCTGACCTGCTTGAACTCCGCCAGGCATGTGGGCTGTGGGAAATCGGTCCTTAGCACCTTCTGGTACATGGGGACCCTTCTGACCACTCCACCCAGAGATTAGGCCATGCATATCCATCAGAGCGGGGGGCCCCAGGGAGGAACTGAGAGAGTCTCTCAGAGAGACAAAGAGAGAATCAAAGAATACTGTATTAAGGCTGGAAAGAATCATCTTATCCAAGCCCCTCACTTTGCAGAGGAGAAAATGAGGTCTGGAGAGGGCCAGGACTTGCTCAAGGCTATACACCAAGTTGGTGGCAGAGCCAGGGCTGGACCCGGGTTCCCTGACTCCCAGCCCAGCGAACTTGCCATTGAAAGAGCAAGTCTTCTAACAAAGCCAGAGAGCAAAGTTAGAATAGGGGCTTGTCACAGGGAAGTAAAGGACAACCTGTCCCATGCTTTTTCTACAGCAACCTCATACCAAGAGCATGGTCTTATGAGACCTTTCTGCTCCCGGCAATAGCGGTGGGGAGTACCAGTGGGGTGGGCCAGGGTGGGAAGCAGCAGAAAGAGGAAGACCTCCCAGTCAGGCTCTAAAGGGTCCCTCTTGCTGGATGGTGCCTGCCCCTCAGTCTCTTTCTACCTTTGCATCTTGACTTGTCAGCTGGCGGATGCCTTTAGGTCCTATGACCAGGTCCACAGTAATGTTCCATCCTTGCTGGAATAAAAGGAGAGAGGGGACTATTGCCCCAGTACTGCCCACCTTATATTTCAGAAATTTGAGGGGGAAAAAAAAAAGCTCACCAAGCTAGACACAGGCCACTGTCCCTTGGGCCCTCCAGCTTCTTCCACCCTAAACCATACAGATTACCTCCCTCCCAACACACCCGCAGAATATTAGGCCCAGAGTTGGGAGGCCAATATTTTAGTGCCTGCCTTCAGGCAACTTCCAGTTGCTGTTGACTCCAACTCATGACGACCTCATCTGTGTCAGAGTAGAACTGTGCTCCATAGGTTTTCAATGCCTAGTTTTTTGGAAGTAGATCAGCTGATCTTTCTTCCAAGGTGCCTCTGGGTAGACTCAAACCTTCAATCTTTTGGTTAGCAGTCAAGCACATTAACCACCTCAGGAAAGTAGATTAGCAGTAGTCCCATTTTAGGGCAGGCCAGTGAGGCTCTGCTGCTTGAGAACCTACAAACAAGTGTAGCACCTTCCCACTCCAAGTTAGCCTTCTGGACCCCTTTCCTGAGAGGCCTGGAATTCAGGTCAGGGAGAGGATAAAGAGGGTATGTCATACAATGAGTTCACAGCGGTAGGTCTCCTGGTCGATGTTGGCAAAACCTGCGAGGGTGTTGAAGAACTTCATGACACACTCCTCCTCCTTCAGAGAGGCATACTGCTGGAATGTCTGCTGGATCATCTTCCGGAACTGTTTAGGCTGTTGTAAGGGAAGGGTGGGGGGAAGGGGAGACGCCGTTGGTGAGTGAGGCCTGGCTCCTCGGAGAGATTCCTTCCCTTAAGATCTCCCTTGAGTTTCAGTCTCAAGACTATCCCTTGCTGCAGGGCAACTCCCCAGAGCCTGTGCCATGAAAACAGCCTCGATATATTACCTAAATCACACTCCCATTGTCTCAAGAGAGGTTCACCGTAAGCCTGTGAGGGAGAGCAACCCCCTGTGTGTCAGAGCAGAACTCTGCTCCATAAGGTTTTCAATGGCTGATTTTTTCAGAAATAGATCACCAGGCCTACAGAAAAGTTCCGTCAACCTTTTGGTTAGCAGCCAAGTATGTTGATCATTTTTTGCACAACCCAGTGATTCCATGAGGGTGGCAGGAGAGGTATTATCCCTACAGCTCAGGCAACAGAGCTAGTAAGCCTCTGATCTGGACCTAGAGCCCAGATGTCCTGGTTCTCAGAAAGGGCCCACTGAAGGATTCTAGTTGTCCCATCTCCAGATGGCCTGAGGCAGCAGATGCCCTGGCTTCCCAGAGTAACTCCAGGCCAGGGAACCAGCACAGTGGTGGTCTTTCTGGACCTCTCCCACACCAGTTCTACTCACCTTTAAGTTCTCCTGCATCTGCTTTGGGAAAAAGAGGTCCAGCCCCACTTCCTTCCTAAAAGAGAGAGCAAAAAAGTAGCATTAGACACCCCTTGCTCCCAATCCAGGACTTCTGGCCAGTCAGGGAATAGTGAGGGGGCTTGGAGACTGCAGAGACTGGCTCTGGTCTGGGGATAAGTGGAGGAGAGTGAACAGTAAAAGGAGGACAGAGAAACAGGTGAGGAAGGAGAGGCAGGGGCTGTTCCTGTACTTACTCCAGGAGCTCAAAGTTGGACTTTTTGTCAAGTGCGTTGTGGGGCATATCCTTGAAGAATCGCCTGGAGAGACAGAAGGAGAAGTCATGGAGAGGCAGGCTGATAGCTGGAGAACAAGGCTGGCATAGCCACATCACTCAAGTGCCCACACGTAGGTCTACAAGACCCTCCCCCCAGATGTGAGGAATCACTGGGAGGGAGACAGGAGAAGTGTAAAATTTGATTCTTAGAAAACCATGAGGAAAATGAAAGTCCACAAATTTCATTCATAGAAAAGACTCCAGCCCTGTGCTTTGGGAGACCCAGCACTAGGAAGGCCCATTGTTGTGCAGAGGAAGGAGATGGCTCTATCTGTGGCCCCTAAAACAAAAGACCCAGGACAGCCGACACATATGCTATCAGCCTATGAACACTCTGCCTCTACCTTCGGGTCTGCTTCCCTTTGTGATTTCTTTTTCCCTTATTTGTTATCTCTGAAATATTATGTGTGTGTGTGTATGCTCATTTAAATAATTATTAAATGTAGTACATGTGAAAACTTCAGACATTAAAGAACAGACTGAAGAAGAATATGAAAATAATCCATAAGCCTTACCAGTACTAGTTTTTTATACATATTCTTTAAGTCTTATTTCCCTTGAAAATGTATGTTTTGGTGAATATTCTTATGTACTATTTATTTATAGCAATTGTGGTTTCAGTTGAGAACAAATAGCTAATGTTCTGCATGTTCCAGCCTCCCTGGATCACAATTTCTGTTGCAGACACTGTTCCCTCCTGATTAGACAGTAACCCTGTGTTCGTTTAACCCAGGTGTCCTTTTACACATCTGGGAACAGTATTGCACTACTAATACTACAAGCAGAGAGAGGTAAGAAATTTATGATTCAAAAGCGATGAATTTAGACGATTAACTGTGTTTACAAAATAGTAGGTCAGATCCTCACCTCACACTTTATTTTAAAATACTTATTGTAGATGGGTTAAAGGGATAAATGTAAACAATGAAACCATTTTAAAACTAGAAGAAAATCCAGATAAATATTTCCAAATCATGGGATTGAGAAGAACATCTAAAGCATAAAATCATAGAAGAAATCCCCAGTATAAATTCAAAACATGAAATATTATATAAACTAAATAATTTTTAATATATTGTCAAGTAAAATAAGTAGCTATCATTTAATAAATATGGTCTCAATTTTGGAAAAAAAATATAAATGCATTGGAAAAAATCTGAATGGATCTACCATGTTAATGGAAGTTATCTCTGGATAATAAAATTCCAGGTGATTTTAGTGTTTTGTTTGTTTGTTTTTCCTTTCCTATATGTTCCAAATATTCTATATTGAACAAGTATTACCCTTTTTACTTGATAAAAAATTAAGGTAATAAGTTTGCTTAAACCGTCATAATGCAAGGTTTCTGGGCTTGCTATCTGACAAGGGATTCTTACACATTCTACTTGGTAGAAAGTTCTTTCCTGTTCCTTTCTCTCACTGATCCCCTGGAGATACAGAGACTAAGTTTAATCCCTTTCTTAGATGTCACATACTTGAAGGCAATATTTTATCATAATTTCTCCCCCTCCCTCCAATCCCTAATACATACACACCAGGCCATCATCCTCAATGACTTCAACCACTTCACTTGGATGAGAAAAAGCGATCCAAGGTAAGAATGGGAAAGAAAAGAATGGAGATGTGGTGTGAGGGCCACAATTAGTCTAGTAGTTATATTTCTACTACAGCAATTGAGCGTGTTTAAAATGCCGTAGATCGAAATGGAGGGAAAGCAGAAGATAACATTTCTTTTATGGAATTAAGAATGAGTATGTTAAAAAGAAGAAGCACTGGTTGCACAGTGGTTAAGTGTTCGACTGCTAACCAAAAGGTCGGCAGTTCAAATCCACCTGCTACTCTGTGGGAGAAAGATGTGACAGTCTGCTTCTGTAAAGATTTACAGCCTTGGAAACCCTGTGGAGCAGTTCTACTCTATCATACAGGGTCGCCATGACTCAGAATCCACTCAGTGATACACAACAACATTAAAGTGAGTAATAGGGAGTAATAACATTTAATGATGGCTCAGTAAATACTGAATTCCATTTGACAATATTGAAATATATTTCTATCTTATCTCATTCCAAGAAAGGACGCAAGGATATGAAGTCTTAGAATATGTTTAAATAAAATAGGACTAGAAAGAACTCAGGAAATGACATAAAGAATATGACAAGCCTGATGTCACTGAACTGTGCATGTAGAAATTTTTGAAATGGTGTATCTTTAGCTATGTATATTTTCACCAAAAAAAAAAAAAAAAGGTCAACAAGGGAGAGGGTTGACATGTCGTGGGGTTGTTAACCAATGTCATAAAACAATATGTGCACTACTGTTTAATGAGAAACTATTTGTTCTGTAAACCTTCACCTGAAGTACAATTTAAAAAAAAAAAAAGGACTATGACAAACCTATGATGGTGCCATAGATGTTATCATTTAGTATAGGTTTGGGGTTTGATTGCCCTGGCAGCCAAGGTAATGAATAGAAGAGTTCATCCAGGGCATAATTCATCAAGTGAAAAAAACGTACAAGTAGTTCCTGAGTTACGAATCAGATCTATTCCTAACTGTGTCTTTAAGTTTTTAAGTCGAATTTGTAGGTAAGTCAGAACACATGCATACAGTTCTTATTTAGCCTTACTTTAGTAAGAAAAGGCTCAAAGCCTTTTCAATGATTTAAAAGCTGCACGTGCAGCAAGTGAAGGCAATTGTGATGAAAAATTTGTTGTGAGTGGGGGTTGGTTTAGTCCTTTCAAAGTGAGGGCTAATTTATATAACATTAAAGGGCAAATACAAGTTGTCCCAAAGTCTGACCTTCCTAACCCTGGGACTGCCTGCACTGTAAAAGGTGGATTTCATTATTTAGATAAAAACTTTGAAAAACCACTGATTGAAAGATTCATTTTACCAAAAAGTTTTTTAAAAAGCCAAATATCGTATTTTTTCTTTTGTTCCATCTTTGGTAAATCAAGGGCATAACACTGAAGCACAATTGAGTAAATGTGATTATTTGGGGCTTAAACCAAATGTGGTCCAGTCCAAGGACATGACCTTTCAGTGGCTCTCAACTAGGGGTGATTTTATCCCCTGGGAATATTTGGTAATGCCTGGAGACATTTTTGGTTGTCATACCTCGGGGGTAGAGGGGGGCGGTTTCTACTGGCATCTAGTGGGTAGAGACCAGGAATGCTGCTAAATATCCTACAATACACAGAACAGCACCTCCTCCCTACAAAGAATTATCCAGCCCAATATGTCAATAGTGCTAAAAAGCTGTAGTGCTGAGAAACACTAGCAACTTGATCCAACGAGAGAAGAGTGACTCTTCTGCAGAGCAGGACAGCAGATGGGACAGTTTTGCTCCCTGAGAATGAGTAGTGTGGCCAGTTAAGGGCAGGTTTGCAGACTTTAGAAGTCTGTTATGGATTGAATTGTGTCCCCCAAAAATATATGTCAACTTGCCTAGGCCATGATTCCCACTATTGTGTGATTGACCACCATTTTGTCATCTGATGTGATTTTCCTATGTGTTGTAAATCCTACCTCTATGATGTTAATCAGGCAGGATTAGAGGAAGTTATGTTAATGAGGCAGGATTCAATCTACAACATTAAGTTTTGTCTTAAGTCAAGTCAATCTCTTTTGAGATATAAAAGAAAGAAGCCAGCAGAGAGACAGGAGGACCTCGTACCACCAAGAAACAAGAGCCAGGAGAATAGCGTGTCCTTTGGACCTGAGGTTCCTGCACTGAGAAGTTCCTTGACCAAGGAAGATTAATGACAAAGACCTTCCCCCAGAGCCCACAGGGAGAGAAAGCCTTCCTCTGGAGCTGGCACCCTGAATTTGGACTTCTAGCCTCCTAAACTGAGAGAATAAATTTCTCTTTGTTAAAGCCATCTACTTGTGGTATTTCTGTTCTAGCAGCACTAGATAACTAAGACAAAGTCAGATGACTGGTAGGCAGGGATGGCACCCCGTTATAAGGTATGAGAAGTCTATCCAGTACTCTTCCCTGTGGAAGGGGCTCTTCCTCCTGCTTCCACCTGCAGGGCGTTTGCCGTCAGAGCTAGAATTGTTTGCGGGAGACAGCAGCCTTGGGACTGTGCCAGTTAAGACTATCCCAATGTTCCACATGGTGAATCATGACAGCCTGTGAACATTTTCTGAGCCAGTGTTACCTACTTGCCCTCCACATTCATAAAAATGCCTCAGAGTGCTTCTGTGAAGTGTTGAATATAAGCAGTGGGGCATCCGCTCTTCCCACTAGGTTGGGTGAGCTACAAAATGTACGCCTAAGTAATGGAACAAATTGGCTTTTGGTCCAAACTTATTTAATTCTAGCAGAATAAATGCTGACAAATGTCCACCAAAGAACAGCATTTCAGTTCTTTCAGAGTTATCCATTCATACAAATAGTCACTGAGTTCTTGTTATGTGTCAGGTGTGGGACTCCAGACTCAAAGATGAAGACAGCACCAGCTCTGACTTCAAGAAATTGACAGGATTTCACAATCTAGTACGTGTGAGCACAGCATTGCTCCAACAAAGCAACGCATAAATACATTGTTTTGAAAAGGAGGGTGGGTATGTTGGGGAAGGGGCAGGCAGGATTCAAGAAGGAAATACCCTTGAGCTGGCTCTGCAGAAGGGTGAGTGGTCACACGGCTTATAATCAACACTTTACAGAGAAGCTCTGAATTTGGTAACACTCTGGCTTAGAAAACTTTCTAAAGCTGCCAGAATAAGGAAGAGTTTGCCAGGCTGAAAAGGAGGGCTAGAGTATGTCAGGCAGAGGGGATGCATTACCCACTGAGGAGCTGGGACCTGCTTCCCAGCCAGAGATGACATTGGTCTCTTAAAGTTACTCCTGGTTTGATAATTGTTGAATGAATAAATGTGCTTTGAGACTTGGGATGGAAGAATTCTGAGGACTTGGATATTTAAATAAACATTAGTAAAAAAATTTGGGATTGGCTAAGTGGAAGAATGTTATGGATTG